ACACACATATATATATATATATATATATATGTTCTCGACAATTAGGAATTGTATAGCGCAGAACATTACGTGACAATGTGCCACATCTTGGTTTAAACGCCAGCAATTTACTCTCTCGGCTGTCTAGCGGGCCCATCCACCCATGTCAACCGAGACATCTCTCCAGTAACGCTATTATTGATTACACTTATCAGTACGAATATAATGTAGAAAAATTATTTTGCGCGATTTACGAAATTTTTCGGAAAGCGAGTATTTTCGGAAGCGTTAGATCAGATCACTCATCTCTTAGGTTTTGTAAGTTAGTAAGAAATATTATTATAGTATAATAGTATAATATTATTTTAGGTTTTGTATGTTGTTAACGAAGAAACGCGTTTCCTTAATTATTAGCGAGCATCTAGGAATGTACGGGTTGCGTTATTAAGAAATATTTGGATCAGATTTTGTATGTAGTTAACAAATACTAATGATTATGTTTTTTTGGATAATTACAAAATATAAAAAAATATGTCTTTTATATTATTAACAAATATTAGACTACCGTATTCAATACACGTACGAGAAAAAAACCGTTTCGCATTTTTTCACTTTCACAAAATTTCTGTCCGCTATCATGACATAATCGCTATAGTGAAATCTCGTTGTTCATGCTTTCTTGTATCACGCAGCCTTGTACCTTCACTAATTCGTATAGCAGCAAAACTATTAAGATCAAACCCACGCATTAACAATGTTGTGATTTCATCGAGCATTCCTACGCCCTGATGACGTCACCCTCGTTAAAAAAATATTTCGTCCATATGAACGATTCCCCGAAATCGCCGACGCGCGCGTGCGTCACGCACCGAGTTCGTCTGCGTCGCCTTGCCGTCACTCTACGGAATAAAACCTCGGCTGTGTTTGACGTCATCACAGACTATTGTGAACCGCTATACGAGTAATGTTCAACTTTCTCACGCGAGATTCGTGTATGATCACTGCAAACATATCATAGATCTAACAGGTGTGGTATAGAACCGCCGCGTATAATGATCTAACCAGCAGACGCCGGTTACCCGCTCACGGAGCGTTCGCGGGTAATTGTCCGACGGGAGAGGGACGTGGCGGCGACGATGACGATGACGATGGTGATGATGATGATGATGATGACGACGATGATGATGATGACGATGATGATGAGGATGAGGATGAGGATGATGATGATGACGACGATGATGATGATGACGACGATGATGATGATGACGATGATGATGATGATGACGATGATGATGATGACGATGATGATGATGAGGATGAGGATGATGATGATGATGACGACGATGATGATGATGATAAGGTTTGCAGCGCGCGCTGTCGCAGTGTGCACATATTTGCGCACCGATTTCGGGCTTTGTGCAGAAGTTAAAAAGAACGGCGCGTTGGCGCATCCGGGGTTTAGAACGTCATGGCTACTGCTGCTGCTGTTGCTGTTGCTGCTACTGCTACTGCTACTGCTGCTGCTGCTGTTATGTGCCGCTACATAGTGACTTGCTGTGCTGTTTGCTTTGCTGTGCGGGTTGCTTTGGTGCTACTGTTTGCTGCTACTGGCTTGCGGGCTGCTGCTGCTGCTGCTGCTTGCTGCTGCTACTGCTGGCTGTTGCTGCTGCTACTCATGTTATGCTGCTGCGTACATAGTTCTGTTGCTGCTCCTGCTGCTGCTGCTACTGCTGCTGCTGCTGCTGCTGCTGCTTATGCTGCTGCTACATAGTACTGTTGCTGCTACTGCTGCTGCTGCTACTGCTGCTGCTGCTGCTGCTGCTGCTTATGCTGCTGCTACATAGTACTGTTGCTGCTGCTGTTGCTGCTGCTGTTGCTGCTACTGCTGCTGCTACTGCTGCTCGTGCTGCCATTGTTACTGGAGTGACTGCTATCATTGCTAATCGTGTTAGATGTGCGGTCGGCCAACGCGCGCGAAGCCAGGACGGAGCGCGGGCGTAAAGATACATTTCCTTCTCCCTCTCCCCCTTCTCTTTCTCTCTTGTTCTTCTGCGTGCTCTCTCTCCCTCTCCCCTTCACTCTCTCCCTCCTCTCTCCCTCTCACGCTAAAACGCGCTCTCTCTCCCACTCGCGCGCGCTTTTTCTCTTTATCAGTTGTCTTCCTTGCTTTGACGCAATTTCTCTCTCACGCGCACACACACACACACGCGCACGTCCACCCGCACGCACTCAAGCACACAGACACGGTCTATCTCTCTCTGTCTGTCTGTCTCTCTATCTCTCTATCTTTCTCTATCTCTCTATCTCTCTCTCTCTCACCTCTCTCTCTCACCTCTTTCTCTCACCTCTCTGTCTCACCTCTCTCTCACCTCTCTCTCACTCTCTCTCTCACTCTCTCTCTCTATCTCTCTATCTCTCACCTCTCTCTCTCTCTCACCTCTCTCTCTCTCTATCTCTATCTCGCTCTCTCTCTCTCTCCTGTTCACTCTACCGACGTAGAGACTTCATCAGACATGTTTAGGAATTATCAGGGATTAGCTGATGGAAGTCCGCGTTCATGCGTCTTGTCTCTTCTATTTGTTTTTCTCACACTCTCGCACGACCGCGCCTGTTCTCTGCGCGAGGTAATCGTTACGTTTACAACTTAATACGCACAAGTTTTCTTTACACAAAGTCAACCTTTAAACCGCTCCACAGTTCGTGAGAAATACGTACACGCCGCGTAACATTATGATAAAACGCGCGTGGATTTTTACCAGTCGTTGCTTAAGCCACACACGCCGAATCATCAGTGATAATCAGAACCCTAGCTTCCCCGGGTGCAAGAACGCGTACGTATACGCGCTCGAATAGATTTAACGTTGATATTACCGGCGATTCCGTTGTACCGCACCCATCTCTCTTACATTATGTCTCTTACGTTATATCTCTTACATTATATCTCTTACGTTATGTCTCTTACATTATGTCTCTTACATTATCTCTCTTACATTATATATCTTACATTATATCTCTTACGTTATCTCTCTTACATTATATCTCTTACATTATATCTCTTACATTATATCTCTTACATTATATCTCTTACATTATATCTCTTACGTTATATCTCTTACATTATCTCTCTTACATTATAT